TATTGCAAGGGTTAAACTTCAAATAGTCATTCTAATTTTGAATGTTTAAAGTTGTTTTTTTTATCAGCTTCTAAAAGTAACGAATATCAGAAAGAAATGGTTGAATTTAATTAAAGAGTCGGCTTAGTGAAAAAGTATCAATAAAAATGTAAAACATGAGGACTAGATTCTCTTAAAATTTATAAGCGTGGTTCAGCGAATGTTCCGCAAGATATTTCACCAGGACTTCTTTCATATCTGCCCTTAAGAAATCCACAATGCTCGATCTTGTGTTGTATGCAACAGCACATTGCCCCCAGCTAACAGATGTTTCCTACCTTCACCTCGAAAGAGTTCCATTGAATTAAGTAATTGCGATATCAAGTAATCCAATTACATGTATTTGTAGTTTCCGTTCATTTTCTTCGCAGAGGCTGCACATACTGAAATGAAATTTGCAACTGAAATGAAATTTGATATACAGATTTATCATAAGAATATCTACATGTAGGTCAAATTTTGTTTTTAGGTATGATCAAACAATTTTTGACAGAGTTATGCCCCTTGGACTTGAAAAAATTCTAATTATTTGCAGTTTCTATTCATTTTCTTTGCAGAGGTTGCACATACTGAAATGAAATTTGTTATACAGATTTATCATAAAAACATCTAGGTCAAGTTTTGTTCTGGGTTTGATCGATCAATTTTTGACAGACTTATGCCCATTGGACTTGGAAAAATTTCAATGATTCAATGATTGGGGGGTGGGGGGGGGGGCATAAGTGTTTCACAAACATCTCTTGTTAATCAGGTTTTGAATCAGACACTTTAAATAAAGTTTTCATGTAGTTGAATTTGATTTTAATTTGCTTAATTTAATATACATGTAGATGTATATCTTATTCTTTACTCAGACCAAGATCAACATAACAGCTGTGTTGGACCCTGTGAAGAAACTGATCACAAATTTACAACACCTGTATGACTTCTACCACAAGTACAGGTGTTATCTGACCTTTGCTCAGTTCCTAGCTGTAAGTTATCACCTGTATGATCTGTACCACAAGTACAGGTGTTATCTGACCTTTGCTCAGTTCCTAGCTGTAAGTTGTCACCTGTATGATTTGTACCACAAGTACAGGTGTTATCTGACTTTTGCTCAGTTCCTAGCTGTAAGTTATCACCTGTATGACCTCTACCACAAGTACAGGTGTTATCTCACCTTTGCTCAGTTCTTAGCTGTAAGTATTCACCTGTATGACTTGTACCACAATATGTATTACAGTTAATACACATGTGTTCATGTGTATTACATATGTAACTGATGAGATTATGAAGGCAAATGATTTGCAATAAAGGACAAGATTAATATAAGTCTTATTCAAAATATTTTCCTACGATGCCACAGTTGTCAGAGACTATTGACGTTAGTATATTCTCTGTCATTATGAAATATTAATACCACCAGCTGGAGGTATTATTAAATGTTAGGCTATCTGCAGTAATTAAGCTTTATATTAGTTTAATCTAAGATTACAATAAATTTGTGATTAGATTTAAATAATTGGTTCTAGGAGACCACAGAGTCAGTGACCTTTAGGATGTTGGATAATGTGGTTGCCTTGGAAATGATTCAGACCCGCCTGACCCAGCAGATCCGACCTTACATGCAGGAGCATCACCTGAAAGAGGACACAGTCTTCACTAAATATGTCAAGCTTAGGTATAGAAAGAGGACACAGTCTTTTCAAAATGTGTCAAGGTCAGATTAAAAAATGATGAATCATACTATATTTTACTGTTATACTATATGTGTGTTGAGGTGAGGTATAGAGATAAAAAGTCCTGCAATGTTCCTGTCAGTTTAAACGTCAAACATTGCAACAGAAATATTTTTGTTATGAACAAACCATAGAATGCACAAAATAAATGTAAAGAATCATGAAAAAACACCATGAATTTTCTTTTGATTTCTTGAGCAAAACATTGACTGAATTTACAGTTATTCCCCTTTTCTTCAATAATTCTAATTGGTAAATAAATCATGCAAATATTATGCTTTCCACTCATTAGATTTTCTAGATCTTTTACTGCATAAATTCTGTGTGTTAGATTTCATTTATAGGAAAAAATAATTTCTTTGCAATTTTAAGTGTAGCCAGGCACAAGTGAGCTTTTGTGATCAAAATTGTCTGTTGTCATTCATGTGGTAGTTGTTGTAAACTTTTTATAATTTCATCTGTTTCTCCAGAACCACTAGGGTAATTTCAACCAAATCTGCCACAGAGTATTTTTGGGTGAAATGGATTCAAATTTGTTCAAGTGAAGGGGCACACTCTCTTCCGAGGGAAGATAATTATGAATTGGTGTAAAAATTAGTGGCATCAGTTAAAAATCTTCTCAAGAACAACTGGGCCGAAAAGATGAAACTTATATAAAAGCCTCCTGACGTAGTGAAGATTCAAGTATTTACCAATCATGACCCCCCTGGGGTAGGGTGGGACCACTCTGGGTGAACAAAGTTTTGTGTGGATATATACATGTAAATAGGAAAAATATAAAGGAAAATATTTAAATCTTCTTCACAATAACAGCAAAGCCATGATCAGTCAAATTTTCATATTTATAAGTAGTGCAGATTCAAATCATGACCCCTGGGGTAGGGTGGGGCCATAATGGGTAATCCAAGTTTTATATAGGAGAACATAGGAAAAATCTTCTCAAGAACAGCAAAGTCATGATTAGTCATATTTGTATGGAAGCATCCTATGTAGTGTAGATTCGAATTTGTTCAAATCGTGATCATTACCACCAACCCACCCCCACCCCCCGGATTAGGGTGGGGCCACAATGGACAATCAACGTTTTACATAGGAATACATAGGAAACATCTTTAAAAATTTTCATTTGAAGAACAGCAAAGCCATGATTAGTCATATTTATATGGAAATATGGAGACATCCTGAGGTAATGTAGAATCAAGTTTGTTCAAATCATGATCCCTTGGGGTAGGGTGGGGCCACAATGGTTGATCAAAGTTTTACATAGAAATACATAGCAAATGTTGCAATTTTGGTTGCATTTTCAGGATTTGTTAGAGAGAAGCATGGGACTGACCTCATTCTATGGAGAAGCTCCATGGGAAGCCAAAGTGACAGCAGTCATTGGTTGTATCAAAGATCCCAGGGTAGGGATAAGAAAGGCTCTCCAGAACTCTAGTTTTATATCCAGGCTTACAGTTGCACATTTGCTTCAGTAACTACATTTTACTTCTTTCTTTGTTGCAGTCAAAGTGTGAAGCCATTCTGGAGACAATGAAGATGGCACGTATTCCTCTGTCAGCTCAGATTGAGAAACTCATACAGGAGGGCATGGAATTAGAACATCCCAAGTCAGTGTATACTGCATATCAACATTATACCTCACAGCTACACTATTTAGCTATTTTTCATTCACAGATATACAGTGTTTATGACAATTATCATGATTTTTAAGTCAAAATTTGTCTTTTCCTTCGAGTTGCCTTAGCAATTAAGATTCATTGATCCTTTAAGAAGGGAGCTAACTCTTACTAGAATAATGGATTGTTAATCCTTTATAAATTGTTTAGTGAAAAACCCATTTCTTTCAAATTGTTTCCCACAATGTACAACTGTATGCTGAAATTGTACGCATTTTAATTCTAAATCTGATTTCTTTTGGAAAATCATAAGTGTTAGAGCAAACTTTCACATAAGTGTACAAAGGGAGGATAAACCTGTATTATTAGCTCATAACAACAAACTTTTTTGATTTCTTTTGTCCATACATGCCAGCTTTTGAAAATTCCCGTGCAGGATTTTGTGCATGATGACAATTTTCGAAGTTTTAAATAAGCGACATTTTGTCATGAAAATAAATATTTATCCCATTCTTTTTGAATTTATAATACTGATACATGTATCACTTATTAATACAGCTTAAGGATAAATAACACAAACATAATTTTTCCTTCCAAAATTCAATTATCTTAATTTGTTTAAATAGGTGGCTTTCTCACTAAAGAAGTGATATCTCTTTAGTTAAATAACATCATGTTTGACCAAGACACATAATCTGGTGAAAAATGGGAAAATGTACAACTTTCAGTTCAATAATTTTTGTCCTTGCAAAATTGAAAAAGTTAGCCTCACAGGAAGCACAGTTTATTGTCAAGACTTTCTTCATGACATCTAAACTGACTTGTTTTTAGATGTTATTTTCAATCCACAAAAAGTGAACTTAAGCAATTTTTCTCTAAAATGAGATAGATTTTTTTCAGAGCCACAGAGATACAGGAGCAATACAAGATGGTGACTGTCAGAAAACTGGTTCTGAAGTACGGAGTCAACCGGGTACCAGACAAACAGTCCAATGAGGTGTGTTTCTTTTACATATGTACTGTACATACAGTATAAAATATCTTCCTTCAAAACTTATATTCCTAGATAATTATTTGCAGGTTTCTAAATATAAATCTTTTTGTAGGACCTGATTAAGTACATCCTGGTCCAGGACAAGCCAGACTGTGTTCAGGACGCCCTGAGTGTGATGGAGGCATACGGTAACACAGAGTACGAACAGGAAATCTATCTCTTCAAGTGTAGAGATCTCATTCACAAAAACAAGGCAAGAATACAGCTTGTTCTGGTAACTTTTAGTTATCCAAGATAATAAAAGAAATTCTAACCCTAATTAAAAAGTTTTCATCCAAAATTGCAGTGGAAATCTTTTCATTGTCAAGTTCATTTTGCAGTGGGAATTACTTTATTTAGAGGAAATAATTCTTTTATATTGGGTTTGAAATATACATTGTATGTATTTTGAAAGTTTTTAGATGATTCTTAGATAGTGCTTTGTTTAGGGGGAAATGTGCTTAAACATATTTTTACACTACAGGACCAACACAAACCATTTTGAGAACCATACGTTATAAAACTCATTCAAAGTTTCACTTATTTTCTGTGGACACTCATTTCTTTTTGAATGATAAAAGATATGCATTGATAATAAGATTGAAATATGTATTATTGTAAGATTTAATAGAGCAGCATACTGATACATCAGTTATATTACATACCTTGTTAATTACATAGAATACAACACAGTTATGCATTTCACTGTACATATTTGATTTTTTTCACTTGTTTGTTTACCAATTGAGCAACAAACAGATTGTCATTTGTATCTGTACATAGTCCCAGGGGATCACTCAGTCCACAGTCTATGTAACGGAGGAACTGTCCATCCTGGTCTATGATGTGGACACATTCATTGTTAAAATCAGCTATAAGGATGTGACTCTGACTGTCTGTGGTGATTCCTAGTGGACTGAATGGTTTGTTCTTTAGAGCAGGAGTATGTTCAGTGTACCTGAATCTCAGTTTCCCGACCTGATTGACCACCACTACTGCTCTAGCTCCCAAGTCAGACACACAGATATCCAGGTTCTTGTTCTCAGTTATGTATCTTAGATAATCAGAACTAGGTGAATAGAGAGGTTTATCTTTATCATCAAACTGAATGCTTTGTTTCTCTGTGGAGCCAGAGTAACGGACAACTTTTGATTGTTTGTTATCATCACTGTCCATGATAACCAGGAGGTCACCAGAGGAGGTACTACAGACACCTATAGGTCTCCAGTTGTGTAGTCTGATCACCTCCTCTATCTTCTTATTCTTCACAATGTTCACAGTTCTATCATTGTAATCAGTATAAACTAGATCTCCACTTTTTGTCACTGCTATGCTATATGGTCTGTTCCCTGACTTGGTTGTGATTGACTTGAGTAGTGATCCCTGGTTGATGCTGTAGAGTTTCATGATGCTGCCACGTCCACATGTCCAGATTTCTTCATCACTCAGACAGGCCACATTGCAAAGGTTTCCATACCCAGTGTCTATGGTGGTGACAGTTCTTGGTTTATCAAGCAGCTGTTTGACTGGAGGAGAGGATCCAGCTTCTGGTGATTTCTGTGGTGTCTTCATGCTGTACCCATATTTATCTGATGTTAAAGAATTTGATGATAAAACTCCAAACAGTTTACTAAGTTCTTCTCCTTGGATTTTTCCTGGAATGAATTTGGGTAAAGATGGCATAATTTTGTGTGGAAGATTTCTGTATGTGTGTACATTGGATGTGACACTAAATAGTTTTGACAAGTCATTAGTGTCTGTTACAGTTTCCATTGAATTGATTTCTTCCTTGATGTCAGACATTGTCTTGTTTATTTCATCCAGATGTTTCTGTAGAGTTTGTAACTGTGTGTTTTTCATGACATCAACTTCAGCTTTAAGTTTCTTGACAAGTTTGTCAATTTCTCTGTGCCAGTCCTCTCCATGTTTTGTTATGGCTGTTGAGAGATCTCCATATTCCTTTTCAAACTGACTCATTCTGTTTTGTACATCAGAGGCAATGTCCTGGTAAGTTGGATAAATTGTATCAATTAATTCATTTCTTTCTTTTATAATTATGTCCTTCTTTTCATCCAGAACTTGCAAGATTTTAGACAATTCATGACCTAAATGTTGTTTTGATGCAAGACAGCTAAGACAGACAGGTATGTCACATTGTTTACAGTACATTTCACATCGATCTTTGTTATGAGATGTACATACAGGGTAGAGGGGAGTGGATTTCCTGGCCTGAAATTTAACAACTTTGTGATCCTTGGATTCATCAGATATCATGTGTTTTCCTACACAAGCTGTACACAGGTTGACAAGGCATGTATCACAGTGCATCTGTACCACAGCTGTCTCACACAGGTCACATCGCATCACGTCCTGGGCACTGGTACAGAGGTCCATCATTAGATTTTTTGACTGAAGAATTAAAATTCTACATAAATGATTTTGCATTTATTGACTGGTTTTGAGGGCAACATGATTTTTTTTGACTCCAGAACAACAAACTGCTTGAAGGCATTAGGTAGAGAAACATGTTGATAGACATATCATCATATTACATATACAAGGTATATTGGATCTTTATGGGAAGGAAATTTTATTCACCATAGTTAAAGCCCGCAGTACTGAATTGTTAATGACTTTTAGAATTGTTTTCATATGCACAGAAAAACTTGAACATTTTTTACCTGATTTCAATAATGGTGGCCGTCCTTGATCGATCTCCAAGTGCAGTCTCTATGTACTGTGATCACGTGACACACCTGTGTTATCTACCTGTCAGGTGTTTATACTTCCTGGTCTGGAAGGGGGATTTAAATACCTCAAACAACTGCTCTTTTAAATGCAAGATTTATTTTGTATAGATCATGAATTTTTTCATTTAATTTATTTCAAAGAGGTTAGAAAATTCCAATGTGCATACATATAAATATGTATAAAAAGAAAATTAATTTCATTCTTTATACATGTATGTAGAAATGAACTTAGATAGGGACTTTAAAAGGATCTTTTATACAAGTTTTGGGCTCCCTCCTCTATAATAGATTCTGAGATTCACAGTGGCCACTAGTTAGTCTATGGCAGAGAAAAGGCTTGTGAGGAATTTTGAATTGTGTTTTAATTCAAATATTACCCCAAAGATTAGGGCCGCAACAGCTAGTCAAAATTTTAAGAAGAAAATTATAAGAAAGATGGTAGAAATGTTCTCCTCTGAGACAGCTGGACCAAAGTTAATTATTTAAATTTACAGCATCTTCATGGCCCCTGGAAAGGAATGATGCCACAAGAGGAATTGATTCATAACTCTACATGAAAATGTAAAAAGGGGGGGGGGGTCTATAATAAGTTCAAGAAAACAAATAAGTCTATCTTGTTATCCAAATGTGATATAGATTCAATTGTTAAAACTGGTTTTCACAGGGATTATATCGATCATTCAGTAGGAGAATGGTGACTCAAGTAAACATGGGGCTTTTCGGTTTTTTATTTTTTAAACATTTTATGAGAGATCTGTGTGATATGTTTATTTTCTGTTGACAGTTATATGAGTGTATGGAGCTGCTGAGACAGTGCCCCACCCACTTGACCTTGACCTGCTGTCGTCACCTGATTGGATTTGTCATTGTTCACCTTAAAGACCCAGTCATCTTTGATAAAAATGTAAGCTCTAGCTGTGGGGAAAAACATTTGTGGTGAAATTTTAGCAGATTTTTTGTAAAATCAAAGAAGATGAAGGAAGTTCAAATATTCATGTAGATTTCTGATTAGGCTAAATGAAATTGATATTACACATTACCAACTTAAATTTCATTCAGAAACTGTAATGAGGATACCTCACAGGTTTTGGTATGGTAATGGTCCTAATGGGCCCTAAAACTGTTATTCAATTTTATGAAGCCTTATATAAATCTTTATTTCAGGTGTGCTTCATCAGAAAACAGCTGTTGTGTGAGGCTGGGATTTACCTGATCAAATTCATTATCAGCAGAATTCCAGGTTTATATCATAATGTCCACTTTTTAGCTCTTCTGAGCCAAAGGCTCAAAGAGCTAATGCTATGGCCATTTGTGCGGTGTGCGCAAACTTTTTAGAATATGGGCCATAACTCAAGAACCCCTTGGCCAATTATTGTGAAATTTGTCACAGGGTATCCTTGGCCCAAGGGCTCCCTTTTGTACTAAAACTGGGGTTGTGACCCTTTAACAAGGGGAGATAATTAGGAAAATAGAAACAAAAATACTGGTTGCTAAAAAATCTTCTTCTCAAGAACCACTGGGCAGATTATCACCAAACTTACACAAAAGGATGAGGATATGTTGTAGATTAAAATTTGCACGGAGATTTACCCTGGGGCAAAGGGCGTGGTCTCAAGGTCACTTCAAAGTTGACCAAAAATTACATTTTATTAAAATGTTGATATTTTGCTTACTATAAGGACTAGGATCATCAAATCTTGTCAGTTGGGGCATCTAAGGACCTCATATCATGTTGACTCAAAAGTAGGTCATGGTGACCTACTTTTTAGCTCACCTGAGCTGAAAGCTCAAGTGAGCTTTTCTGATCACATTTTGTCTGTAGTCCGTCTGTCTGTCCGTCTGTCTGTCCGTCTGTCCGTCCGTCTGTAAACTTTTCACATTTTTGACTTCTTCTCAAGAACCACTGGGCCAATTTCAACCAAACTTGCCACAAAGCATCCTTGCGTGAAGGGGGTTCAAGTTTGTTCAAATGAAGGGCCACGCCCTATTCCAAGGGGAGATAATTAAGAATTGGTGAAAATTTGGTGTCATCTTTTAAAAATCTTCTTCTCAAGAACCATTGGGCCAGAAAAGTTGAAACTTATGTGAAACCTTCATTACATAGTGTAGATTCAAGTTTGTTCAAATCATGACCCCCGGGGGTAGGATGGGGCCACAATGGGGTATCAAAGTTTTACATAGGAATATATAGGAAATTTTTTTAATAATCTTCTTCTCAAAAACAACAAAGCCACAATTAGTCATATTGATATGGAATCATCCTCAAGTAGTGTTGATTTAATTTTGTTCAAATCATGACCCCCGGGGGTAGGGCGGGGCAACAATGGGGGATCAAAGTTTTACATAGGAATATATATAGAAAAAATTCTGAAAAATCTTCTTCTAAAGAACAACAAAGCCAGAATTAGTCATATTGATATGGAATCATCCTCAGGTAGTGTTGATTCAATTTTGTTCAAATCATGACCCCCGGGGGTAGGGCGGGGCAACAATGGGGGATCAAAGTTTTACATAGGAATATATAATAGAAAAAATTCTGAAAAATCTTCTTCTAAAGAACAACAAAGTCAGAATTAGTCATATTGATATGGAATCATCCTCAGGTAGTGTTGATTCAATTTTGTTCAAATCATGACCCCCGGGGGTAGGGCGGGGCAACAATGGGGGATCAAAGTTTTACATAGGAATATATAATAGAAAAAATTCTGAAAAATCTTCTTCTAAAGAACAACAAAGCCAGAATTAGTCATATTGATATGGAATCATCCTCAGGTAGTGTTGATTCAATTTTGTTCAAATCATGACCCCCGGGGGTAGGGAGGGGCCACAATGGAGGATCAAATTTTTACATAGGAATATATAGGAAAATTCTTTGAAAATCTTCTTGTTAAGAACAACAAAGCCAGAATTAGTCATATTGATATGGAATCATCCTCAGGTAGTGTAGATTCAAGTTTTTTCAAATCATGACCCCCGGGGGTAGGGTGGGGCTACAATGGGGGATCAAATTTTTACATAGGAATATATAGGAAAATTTTTTAAAGATCTTTTCAAGAACAGGAAAGCCATGATTAGTCATATTGATATGGAAGCATCCCCAAGTATTGCAGATTCAAGTTTGTTCAATGCATCCTCCAGTAGTAGGGTGGGGCCATAATGGTGGATCAAAGTTTTATGAAAGAAAATATATAGGAAATATCTTTAAAAATATTCTTCTTAAGAACAACAAAGTCTTGATTAGTCATATTGATTTGGAAGCATCCTCAGGTAGTGTACATTCAAGTTTGTTCAAATCATGACCCCACCCCACCCCCCAACCCCAACCCCCAGGGTAGGGTGTCGGACATCTTTAAAATTCCGTTTTAAAGAACAGCAAAACCATGATTAGTTATCTGAATATAGCAGCATCCTCAGAAGGTTTATATTCAATTTCATTCAAAACATGGCACCTGGGGGTAGGGTATGCTTAGAACAGGCCATCAAAGCTTTATATGAATATATAAGAGGAGAAATCTGCTGACGAAGAACAACAGGGCCATATTGACTCAGGTGAGCGTTGTGGCCCATGGGCCTCTTGTTAAATTTTGCGGCCATTCTTTTTCAAAATGATTTAGAGGCATATTTTCAACAATTTAAGGCCTATGATCATCAATCTTTGTCAGTTGATGCATCTTGGGTCCTCAAAGTACGTCAACTAAAAAGTAGGTCACCTTGACCTACTTTTTGAATTTTATGGCTAATCTTTTTTAAAACAATTAAGGTCATTAATTCGAATACGGGGAGGCTTAGAATCATTAAATCTTGTAAGATGATGCATCTTGGGGCCATAAAACATATTTATTAAAAAGTAGATCACAGTGACCTACTTTTTGAACTTTGCAGGCATTCGACTTTAAAGAGTTTCAGAGGCAGAATTTGGACATTTTAAGTCCTATGATCATAAAACTGTGTAAGTTGATGCATCTTGGGTCCTCAGAAAAGGTCAACTGAAAAGTAGGTCACCGTGACCTACTTTTTAATTTATATGACTATAATTAAATATTTCAGGTACTAATTGGCTTAGAATCATCAAACTTTGTCAGTTGATGCATCTTGGGTCTGCGGAGTAGGTCAACTAAAAAGTAGGTCACAGTGACCTACTTTTGAAAATTTATGGCGTTAATTAAATATTTCGGGTACTAATTGGCTTAGAATCATCAAACTTTGTCAGTTGATGCGTCATGGGTCTTCGGAGTAGGTTGACTAAAAAGTAGGTCACCGTGACCTACTTTCGGAAAATTTATGGCTTTAATAAAATATTTCGGTTACTAATTGGCTTAGAATCATAAAACTTTGTCAGTTTATGCATCATGGGTCCTCGGAGTACAACAACTGAAAAGTAGGTCACTGTGACCTTTTTTTGAAAATTTATGGCTTTAATCAAATATTTCGGGTACTAATTGGCTTAGAATCATTAAACTTTGTCAGTTGATGCGTCTTGGGTCCTCGGAGTACAACAACTGAAAAGTAGGTCACGGTGGCCTACTTTTGAAATTTTATGGCTGTATTTAATATTTTCAGGAATTATTTGGTTTAGAATCCTCAAAATTTGTCAGTTGATGCAACTTTGGTCCTCGGGGTAGGCTGACTGAAAAGTAGGTCACCGTGACCTTCTTTTGAAAATTTATGGCTGTAATTAAATATTTTGGGTACTTATTGGCTAGAATCATCAAACTTTGTAAGTCGATGTATCTTTGGTCCTCGAAGTACAGCAACTGAAAAGTAGGTCACGGTGACCTACTTTTGAAAATTTATGGCTTTAATTAAATATTACAGGTACTAATTGGCTTAGAATCATCAAACTTTGTCAGTTGATGAATCTTGGGTCCTTGGAGTAAAACAATTGAAAAGTAGGTCACTTTGACCTACTTATAAATTTTATGGTTATAATTTTAAAAAATATTTTAGGTATTAATTGGCTTAGAATCATCAAACTTAGTTGATGGGTCCTCAGAGAATGACAAGTGATAAGTAGGTCACCACGACCAACTCTCAGGTACTAATTGGCTTAGAATCATCTTGGGTTCTCAGAGTGTGAATTGGAATTTCAAGGGTTTATCTAAATATACAGGATACTTCGAGGCTTCAAATAGAAGTGATAGGTTGTACGTTTATCAGAAGAGCGATTCAAGGCCCATGGGCCTCTTGTCTTTACACAAAATGATAAAATAGAATCAGTCCATAAAAAGAATGTTATGATATACATTTATATGTTCTTTTTTCCCCAGATCAATTTGAAGTTGAGGATTTGGAGGTCTTACTGATTAATGTAAAAAATGTCCATGCATTGCTGGTATGTTTTCTTCTATACATTCAATGTCTTAGTAGTCTGTTTATTCAGGTATCTATTCTATAAATTTGACTGACAATTGGTCAAGATAACTTTATACAACTTGAAACTGCCTTTTTGTTAGCAAATATAGTATATGTTGTTCTATCGTTGTTATAATTGAAGGTATTTCTTAATATTAAAACATAATACAGTTACATGTGTACATATGTGTTGTTTTCCTTTTGTCTATAGTATTGTATGATTTTGATCATTTTAGAGAAATACTAAGAACTAGGTGAAATTAACAGCATACAGAATTGTTTTTTTTTCAATGTGGCAATGCCATTATGTCAAGTTCCAGTCTGTGTATTTGTATTTCAGAAAGAATTCTCCATTTATCTAACACTAGACCAGTATGTTAAACCAGACTTCAGAAGGAAAACCCTGCATAGCTACATGGTGGACTTTTTCAAAAAGGTAATTTAATAAGGCTCAAAATCATTTCCTGACACTCTTGAATTTCATATTACATTAAAAAAAAAACATTGATAAAAAATACACAAATGTGAACTTGTAATCTTTCAGGAGAGCAGACATTGGACTGAAGCTTACAGGTGTGTATTGTGCTGACAGAAACAAATGTTAGGAGAGCTATTCTGATAAACCCAGTGGCATTCAGGGCTTGGGACACTAGGTTAAAGTTTCCGACCTACAATGCAATTAATTTAAAATGTAGAGTTGTGTAGATCTATGTAATTTTATGTTTCAGACTGGCAGAGATTTTACAGGTGTCTAACATTGAGATGGAAGGGGAGATGATCATGCAAGCTGCTAAAAAAGGAGAAATTAAAGATGTTCTCAGAATCTGCAGGTATGTACTAATAATAGTACTCTGTAATATTATACACCTATTTACTGTCTATGAGGACAATAGCAAGTTTATTGTCCCCCAAGACAGCAACTATTTCCCGAGGCGCAGCCGAGGGAAATAGTTGCTGTCGAGGGGGACAATAAACTTGCTATTGTCCGAATAGACAGTAAATAGGTGTTTTATTATACCGAAGTAGACTTTACTTGTGTCAGACTCTTCATTACAATAGAAGACAACATACAGAGCTCTTCTTGTTTAATAAATTTTTGAAATCAACAATAATAAAAATGTTCAACAATTAACATTTACACAAAAAAGTTCAATGAACAATGAATCATTTTTGCAATTTAATTCTTATCAAAATGGAAATGGATATTTGATCCACTAATATTTTGAATAGAAAAACCATGAGGGAGTTGGAAATTGTTGGTGGCCATATAATTAGGGATTTGGACATTGTTTGTAGCCGTGTAATTGTTTTCAAAGTTTTCTATGTTTTCGAGAACACTGTCCGTCAGAATATCTGGAATGTTTAAAGCATCATCCAGAAAATCTGGAAAGTTGGGAGCTTGTAAAGTCGAGGATGCTTGTGATTTACGGGGAATTTTCGGTGCTGGTTCGGTTTCTGATTTCACACAGCTACTCAGGATGTTGGAAATCTCCCTCTGCTTCTGCTCCCCAAGACGTTTAGTATATGAACGAACAGAGCTTTCAGACTTGTGCCCACTTATTTCCATGATATGTCTTGTCTCGATGCCATTTTCATCTAAATTCGTAATGCATGTCGCTCTTATGCAATGGTTGGTGTACCGTTTAGACAAACCTGCTTCCTCGCTCACTTTTGCCATAATTTTACCGAGGGTATTTTTCCCCACTGCCATGTTATCATACCATAGGTTCTCGGACATATTTTCTACTTTTTTGGGGCGTTGCCAAAAATAAGGATTTTGGGGGTGAAGCTTACTCAAGTATAGTTGAAATGCAGCAACAGGGCAGTCTTTGTCACCTGAAATATTAGTACATCTTATTAAAATAAAGTAGTTGGTGAAACTGTATCTTTTACATGTATAACATGTAATATTTATCATGTTTATAGCAGCTATATTTCACTTCTGATGTATCATAAGGATGGGTCTAATATTTTACCGTTACATTGTATAAAATGTTTTACCTGGATTCTCGTAAATTCGGCCTTCCTTGTCATCATGATCTCTAATGTCATCTCCTCGATGATTTTTTGTCTGTCTTTTTGTCTTCATTCTGATGTATTTACGTCCTAAGGAATCAGTGTTTATCTCGAAATCCTCTTTCTTCACCTCCCTCACATTTTCTCGTCCCCTGTTACAATTGTAGTAGATAAACTCAAAAAACACTCTATTCTGCAAAGATTGAGGATTGTCCAATTTAAAACAGTCACTTTGGTAAAGTTTTCTCAAGTCATCCTGCGTTATACTGTCCTTATGTTTTACGTCTCCGATGCCCTCTTTTTTCAGCTTGACCAAAACAGCTTTAAAAATTTCATTGGCGGACTTGTACTGTTCATTGTTTACAATATCTTCCTCTCGCGTTTTCAGGAAGTGCTTCTGTAATCCGAATCGCAGGGTGATCATGGACTTTTTAGCGTAGAAAGAACCATCCGTTTTACGAACCTCGCAGTAGAATTTCCTTAGTATCGTTACAACCTGAAGGGTTTCTGCTTGCTCAAGTTGCGTAATGTCTGTAATTTCACTGTTTTTAGCTCTCAAATATTCATTCAAGATGTTAGTAGATGCTTTAATTACTTTTTTAGTATTGACTGCATCCCTTTCATCCAATATACTCTCTAAATCCCCTTCCGTCAAGGATGCAAAGCGCTCTGCCATGATTGTCGTCTGGTAAACAGTTTAGAGTTATCGGACTTTGTGACGTCTTGATTTAGATAAAATCAGAAAAGATCCGAGATGAAAAGCGAGGGAAATCGAATGCTGCCGTTGAATAGTTTGAGGACTATTAATACCATGGGCAAATAGCACAAAAACTATTTAACGGTAGGGGCTGTTAAGATAAAATAGAAAGTTTATTCGACATATTTTTATATAGAAAAAATACACAGAGGTATAATAATTATAAATGTTAACACTTTTATAAGATATTTGCTAAATCTTATCATTATCTAACCTTTGACACTCTAAAAGTCACAAACTTAGAGAGAGAGAGAGTGGTATTGTAATTTACAGAATTTATTTTGGCTTTCTTTTCAATTGTCCTAGGACATCTTGTCATAAATAATGTCAATATTTTCTATCAAATTTTTACAATCTGAGTAACAGCAGTTTTACTAACCAATACTTGCAAGGATTAACTGGGTACTTGTTGACAACACTAGCAAGTAGAGATGTTAAGATTTTTGAAAAATATGTTTTTAAACTATTGAGTACAGTATGATTCTTGGGCCTGTTGTCTGAGATGTAATTATTTATGATTTAGGAAACTGCTGGACTCGGGTCCCTCAGAGAAGACTGCTGAGATTTTCTACAATGTGGCCTTGGTGCTACAAGAACTGTTAAGTGAATCAGAGAATGGAGGAGAGAACCTGAGGAGCTTACCTAAGATCACACATCACCTGGTGTGTCAGGCCATGAACATGTGCTCACCGAGTCTCCTGCCGAGTCTGATCACACTCAGTAAAGTGACGAGTCTCTGTGAAGCTGTAGACAGTCAATGTGAAGCAGCAAGCACCTGTCAGGTGAGTTTACTGCCTGTGTTTGCTAGGTAACAAGTCTCTGTGAAGCTGTAGACAGTCAATGTGAGGCAGCAAGCAGCTGTTAGGTGAGTTTACTATTGGTTTTTGTTAGGTAACAAGTCTCGGTGAAGCTGTAGACAGTCAATGTGAGGCAGCAAGCACCTGTCAGGTAAGTTTACTGTGTGTATTTGCTAGGTAACAAGTTTAGTTGATGGTGTAGACAGTCAATGTGAGGCAGCAAGCACGTGTCAGGTGAGTTTACTGTGTGTATTTGCTAGGTAACAAGTTTGGTTGATGGTATAGACAGTTAATGTGAGGCAGCAAGCACCTGTCAGGTGAGTTTACTGTGTGTATTTGCTAGGTAACAAGTTTGGTTGATGGTGTAGACAGTCAGTGTGAAGCAGTAAGTAACTGACAGGTGAGTTTACAGTGTTTATTTTATACAGTGTGTATTTTATTCTGTGTGAAGCTATAGACAGTCTATGCGAGACAGCAAGCCCCTGTCAGGTGAGTTTACTGTTTGTTAGATGATGAGAAGCTGTGAATAGTCAATGTGAGGCAGCCAGCACCTGTCAGGTAAGTTAACTATTTGTGAAGTGATATGAATTTGTAAAGCCATAGAGAGCTATTGTGAGCAGCAAGCACCTGTTAGGTGAGTTTATGGTGTTTGCTTGTTAGATGAGATAACTGGTTAATCTTCAAAAAGCTGTGAACAGTCAAATTGGGGCAGCATGCACCTGTCAGGTGAGTTTACAGTTTATTTTTGTCAGATGACAAGTCTGTTTTGTCAGATGACAACTCTTTGTAAGGCTATTGACAATCAGTGTAAGGCTGCAAGCACCTTTAAGATGAGTTTTAAATGCATGTTCAAGAAGAAAACAAGTGTGTGTAAGACAAAGTGTACCTGTCAGTTTAGTTTGCGTTAAGATGGTGAATTCATGTACACCAACACCTGTCCCGTGTATTTGCAATATGCATATGGAGAAAAAAATAAGCTCTTTCAAACTAACTTGTATGTCTTTCTTTGAAATGCCTCATATTTTTCCCCAAGCTTTATGTACAGTATTTACCTAATATACATTGTACAATACATTGTAAAATCTACATGTACATGCAATAACAAGGAGAATTTTGAGACAAGATTTACTGAACTAAAGCTCTATTTTTCCTAATTTTAGGATGAGATTTGGGAGGGAGTTGTTCAGGGCAGGACAGTGGACAGAGATTGGAGAATTGATGACTCGTTTCAGGATGATGCTCTTGTGATGAATTCACAGTTTGTCCTCCCACTGGTCGCAAAGTATGCAAAGTCACAGCCAGCTACCACAGCTAATGGTAAACTACAGACACAAATTATATATTAAAGTTATTCACCCATTTGAAAGGCAATGTTTTCAAGAAGAAATTTGAAATATATTTTAAATGCAAACAATTTTAGTATACCTTTTGGTGCAAATTATGAATGAATTCAAGATTCTTTGATTAAAGGATTGAATAAAACAGAGATGTTTGTAATACATGTAACTCCATGCAACTTTCAAGATGTAACTTTCTAAAATGTTGAAAAAGCATGTTTTAGAAAGTAAAAAAAAAGTTTAAAACTGTTTTATATATGCAAAATTACTTTTCTCATAGTTTGCTGAACAATTCACTCTCTTCAGAAAACTTTAATGTTTCTTTGATTGTCTACAGGAGATAAACTTAGCCCTGACCTGACAGCCCAGAAACAGACTGTGTTACCTGTCCTCCAACATCTCAAGGACAACAGTCATCACCTGCTGGCTCTACAGTTTGCCCTTCATATGACCTTCACTGCCATGGAAACCATTATGCCAGCCACAGAACAACATGTAATTTGTTTAATGGTGTCTAGAACTTAATAACTCAGTTGAGTAGCTTAGTGTAAGGTTATTTCTTTGCTGCATTTTAAAGTTTAATCTTTTTCCATATCTTTATTAGAGTAAGCAAAACCAGGAAATTTTTAGTCTTCACTTTCAATATAGCCAATGTAATGAAACAGCAAAGAAAGCATTAACAAAATGAAATCAGATTTAATTAAGAAAAATTGCAAAAAAAATTCCATTGTATGTTATGATATCTGGAGTGTATTGAAAAAAAGAATTGACCCATTTATTGATACTTTTAACACAGGACTCGAGCAACCCTGTGGATAATAATAAAGTGAATCAACTGATGCAGCAAAGTTCACCCCTCATCAGAGAGTTCACCTCAGCTCTTCTCATGAAGGTATGCTTGTGAGGAGATTGTTATAAAGCATAAGTTGTCTTGTTTTTTAGCACTACTGGTCAGAGACCAGAAGAGCTTATGCGATAGTAAGGTGTCCGACTGTCCGTCCGTCTGTCTGTCTTTCTGTCTGTCTTTCTGTCTGTCTGAAAACAATTTTTCAAAACGCTACTCCTCCTACAGTTTTGGTCTGATTTCAATATAACTTGGCACACAAGTAGACTACACTAAGATACATAATTCAGTGCATCAGTTTTTGATTTCAATGAATGTGTTGCCATGGGTACTAAAAATAGAAATTTCTGTGAAATTCCTTCAAAATGCTACTCCTCCTACAGTTTTGGTCTGATTTCAATATAACTTGGCACACAAGTAGATTACACTAAGATACATAATTTAGTGCATCGGATTTTGATATTGATGAACGGTGTTGCCATGGTTACTAAAAATAAAAATTCTGTGAATTTTTTTTAAAATGCTACTCCTCCTACAGTTTTGGTCTAATTTTAATATAACTTGGCACACAAAAAGACTATACTAAGATACATTAGTTATTCCATCGGTTTTTGATTTCGATGAACAGTGTTGCCATGGTTACTTAAAATATAAATTTCTGTGAAATTCCTTTAAAATGTTACTCCTCCTACAGTTTTCGTCTGATTTCAATCTAATTTGGCACACAATTAGAATACACTACGTTACATAATATGTATTTTGGTTTTGATTTCAGTGAATGGTGTTGTCATGGTTACTAAAAATAGAAATTTCTGTGAAGTACTTTCAAAACGCTACCCCTACAGTTTTGGATTGATTTCAATATAACTTGGCACAGAAGAAGACTACATTAAGATACACAAATCTATTTATTGTTGCATGTTGCAAAGTTTCAAATCCAAGTGCTACTTTGTTATACATACAGTCCAGTAGAGCTACAGTCTCATCAGAGACTTCTGGTTTCTTTGTTACATGTATATGTACAGACCAGTAGAGCTACAGTCTCCTCAGAGACTTCTGGTTCAATTCATAAATCTAATTGCATGCATTGAATACATATACAGGTTTTTAACTGTCAAGAAGTGGATCACAGACTGGCCCTGGCTTTACTCATCAACCGACCTAAAAACGAGGGACTGAAGATGATGATGAGCCTGATCAAAGCCTCGGGACACAAATATAAGAAACTGAGGGTAAGATTCATGAATTCATGTACGGTGTATGTAATGACAATATAATGACTATATGTTTTTAATTGTGTTGAACATTTTACGCTAAAAATATAATGTAAGCCTCTTCATGATAAAAAAATAAAATAATGAGAAAAGTATATGGTGTTACATGTATGTACACAGTATTCACTATAATATTAATAATTTTGTTTGGATAATGAAAGTGAACATGATTATTTTATAGGCTGTGGGTAATGTGTGTGCACTGAAAGTGAACATGTTTATTTACAGGCTATAGGTAATGTGGGTATAGGCATTGGTCAGCTTTATAGAGAGGCCTCAGCGATAGAGATGTGTGAGAAACTGAAAAAGAATGCCAGCTGGGGACACAGACTGGGGAAAATGAAGTTGAGAATATAAGGAGAAATACCATACAGACTGGGGAAAATGAAGGTGAGAACGTAAGGAGAAATATCACACCAAAATTTTTTTTCATTGGGAAGTAGAGAAACAATACTTGCCTAATCTACTAAGAATTACTAAAAACAAGGCAAATGTAAAGAGTTAAGGGAGATATCAATTTCTCAAAATAAATACACATGAATACCACAAAATTTCTTTGCTGAGTGTGCAACATTAAAACGAGTATGTGACTTATCAATTGATGAAGCTATGGCTTTTGTAGATTAATTTCAGTGAAGTATTTGGAAATCCTGACTGTGAAAAAAGAAAGTTGCTGCCGCAACTTGTTCAAAGTGAGGCAGCTTCTGTGTCCCTGATCCAAGAATTCTGTCGGTAAGAATTCAGAAATTAAAACAAAAATTCAACAAGATACACTATTGCATTAAATGTCTAGCTTTTACTTTCACTGAATTTATAATTGAAAGGGAGTTTTGTCTGGATGAGGATGAGGCATTGATGCTGTATCTGGATCACGTCTTCACCACACCTGAATATCCGG